CTATTACCACATAATGTTGGATTTGAAATTCAAGCAAAAAAACTCTGGTTTTTGCCCACAGTTTCTAGGCCTAGCTATATCCCGTTTTTCTATTTTTGCTAAATTGTGGCTACAAAAATAAATCATGATTTTCTCTTTTCTAACCCGGTTATCTTTTGGCCAGAATTGGAGGATTAACAAGAAAAAATTTTCGCTATCGTATGGTATTCCAATAATTCATCGGAAACTTATCTGGGACTTGCGACACTGCTATGGTATATTTCACTCTGACAAAATGTGCAAATTGCAGACGAGACATATGACGTCATATATGGTCTGCGTCTGCTCTGTCAGGAGCGATGAGAGAAGTTGGTTTTAGTTATCGTTTTGAATCAAAGGCAATTCAGTTTGTACATAAGGATGCGGGACATGTTATTATGTAAAACAAAGGCTCTGAGATATTGTATGCAAAGAAATAGTTTGAGATGATGTTATCACTTTGAGTCTGCAATGTATCTCGCTACCTAATTATGGAAGACATGAAAATATATGGAACAGACGTGATAGTCCTATCCAGTGCGACAGAATAGAATTTCGCAGTAAATGTAGTCTAGTCCAATATTTTTTTAAAAAAGGTAAATTTTATATTATTTTGTAAAATAAATTTATGTTTTGTTTTCCCAGTCACAGATTTGGGAAAAAAACGAAGCTAACAGAAGATCATTGAACGTGTTCGGAAGTCTGTCAAAGATCAGGAAAAGGAAAACTTTCCAAGCAAACTCGAGAACATTAAAATAGAAAGTTTATAGTATATATATATAAGATAATTTTGAGTCATTTAAATACATGTGGAAGGAAAACTGTTATTTGAAGAACAAAAGGTTCAATGAGAATAAGACAAGTGAATATTGTCAGAAAAGCGTAAGGTCAATCTGGAAAAAGGTAGACACAGTAAATATGGGGAAAAAGACAAATTGGTTGCATCTCTAGAAATTTGTTTATAAGCCAGAACTGTTGTGCACTAGAAAAGGTTATCTATTACAATCCATGAATATAAATATAAGTTCATTAAAATTTCGGCAGGAGACGCACGCACCAATCGAATTTTGTAATCTGTGTATTGGGTTTCTCATGTCTTAAAATAGGACTGACCGGATTTTGAAACCCATGCCTATTTTGGCAAAAAAATAGGATATTTTATAAAAATTCTTCTAAATACCTCCATAACGTTTCTGGATATTGAATGGATGACAACGGAATATTAGAAAAGTTTGATGCATGATATATAGCGGTTATTGTAATATATATTCTTGATTACTATGTACTTTTCGCATGCAAATGTACGAACACAATTTTTTGGAAATAAATCATGTGTGACCAAGTGTATACCACCGTGCTCATTTTAGCCGGAGATGTTAAAATACAACGCTGAGTTGAATTGTTTGTCGGTCAATGGTACAAAACAGTCACTATAAACTGCATGGTCAGCGTAGGTCATTTTGCTGTTACCGTTTTTGAAAGACTGATCTTGGGGTGGGGGGTGGTCATGAGACGTTATAACAGTTGAAAAGCTGGATTGGTCGTGTAAAGCTGGGCGATTTTACTTCTATATCAAGCAACGATCTGCATTGCGTTGCTAACAATATTGCCATATCACCTTTATTGAACATATCAAGAAATGCGCAGATACGTTTTAATATTACTCCTACGCCCCTCTCTTTGAAGTCCCAGATGAGCGATTTCATAAAATTACAAAGAGGGTAAGATTTGGGTAAGTCCCTGCACCCTTGGCACAAATAGAAATAGCTACTATGACTTCAAGTTTACTGGTGACGCGGTTTATTAGTTTTTTTTTTTATATTCAACTTATTATCCAGTATACTTGCGTGAATAACATACGGATCTTCCGTACAACGGCAATTTTCGTATTTTGCAAAATTTTTTATATTAATTTATGACATCATATCACATGAACATCTCTGCTATGACGCCAAAATTAATTTCACTCAAAAAAAACGTATGACGTCACTATAATTTTTCACATTGTCGGAAATACATAATACTAATTACATTAACTGATTTCCGACTATCAAATAAGCAAATGAGTTATGGTAACCTCTTGTACATTGTTGACTATTTTGGACGCATCTCACACGGAAAAATACATTATCTGAAAATCGGAAATCGAACACTGCGCAGTTGAAATTCAGATTACAAAGAGCTAATTAGCCCTAAAATCTATTTTAACGAACAGTGGCATATTTGAAACATCTGTGATCCTTTTAGCGACAGTATTCCTAATTAACAAATGGGATACAAATTGTTACTTAGATTAGCGGAAATGTAGGAATTAGAAAAACTTTCTATATCGGAAGTCCAGGTCGCTCATGCCGATGCCGGGTTATTTCGTTTTCCACTTTCATTCCCTTTGTTCTCCGGTTTTAATTATATGATTAAGCACGGTCATCACAACACAAAACATTGAATGAGAAGGGAAACGTTCTTTGCTTTACTAGACCGGGCAATTGGATTTAATTCTGCGGGAATTTGAGTTTTCATACATCGCCGATTCTTCTTCTCGTTTCCGAAATGGTGACTATATTTATTTAAAAAATGGTTAATTATGCAGGTGATGGTTTAATTTAATGATGTGAAGTACCATAATACTAGGTACAGTTAAAACTTGCTCATATAAATGCTTTTGATTGTTAATACAACATATTATCGCCAGAAAACTTAACAATTACGGCGAAAATTGCGTTTTTGACAACATCGCCATAAAGGAGCGATATTTTCGATATTTTTGCCTAAAGTTGATGAAAAGCACGTGCAATGCACTTATTATATTCAAATATATTTGAATACAACAAAAAAAACGACATCGAAGGCGAAAAATTAAAATAATCGATGAAACCCTAGTAACGACGATAGGCTATCATATGTTTCCGAACTGCATTTATTTGGAAATTTCAAAATTTTGAAATATTTTTCTAGCCATCCAATATCATATCAATATATCGCCGAATGCGTATCTAAAATACCAACTGAGCGGTATTAACATTTTTGTTTTTTATTAATTATATCAAAAGTTATAACCAAAAAACGATAAAAAAAAAAAATTTGAACCCAATTTTCTCGAAAACTATTAAATGAATTTTAATTATAAAACTGTTTTTAGTTTTGTTTTATTGAAATCTATCCAAATATATTAAAATTTTTAATACAACTACAATAGAACAAATTTTCAATTTTGGGGTCAAATGACATATAATTAATTTAAACCACTCCCTGAAAAGATAAATACAAAACTTCCGCATAGACTAGTGAAAATTTTTTCAAATTTGACCTAAAATTCGCTGATTTATATGTGTTCGAATTTTAACTCGTGATTTCGTAAATTTCAGCAATATGTCACATCTCAGACAATCCAATTTATGAAATCATGGAAGTTTTGACATCTGCTATCTAGAATCCACTATGAACAACTTTCAAATATCGCCATTGAATCTATTTTCAGGTTACACTTTGGCCTACGTAGATACACAATATATATATATATACGGTATACAGTATATACACAATTACTCTTTATACTTTCGTGTGAGGGCATGGAGAATTGAAGATACAGGCAGTCAGAACGAGTGGGCAAATCGCAACAATATCGTTCAGCGAGCGATCAACCGTGACGCCAAAATAACAACATTTTTAATGAAGGACAATGATTAAATACCCAATGATCATATCTATTCCATGCGGTGTCGACCATATCCAATAATGTTCTTCATTTCCGCAAATAGGCTAGAAAAAGCAGTCCCTCGGAATTGGGCGACGACGATTGTGCACCAACTCGACTATATTTCAAACAAACTGTATTACTTGCGTGAAATTTTGTCAAAACATTTCCCACTGAAAACCACCAAAATTAACGCTGTGAGTAGCTCACTATATGCCACAGAAAACGAGTGGCCCAAATGCAGCAAAAAATAGTATGTAACCTCAATGCAGCAAATAGATATATATATATAGGTTTTAGTTATTAGGCATGGCTAATAATGTGCACAGTATACCACCAATCATGCAAATAAACCGACGAGACAAGTTGTTCACAAATCAGCAGTCAGTTTGTTAACCTGGCGATCGCCGTCAAGGTTTGCAATTCAGCATGGATGGTATCGGTTAGCAGGATGGGGGCCTCGATTATCAGCGGATATTCAAGGCGCCGGTCGGATTCTACCTTATATTATTTAGTAGATCAAGCGATTTAAGGTGGGAGAAAATATCTAACTTACTGTTTGTTTCTAGCTGACAAAATATTAAAAACCTTTCCTATTTAAATATGAATGGGTGAATCGTGAGTTTTAATTTGGTAAAAATATAATTGTATGACTTCCTTTAATATAACATGATTGGAAATGAGCGTAAACGTAGGTCAAAGAATTTCACATATATATAGTCTCGTCCAATGCCGTTATTGGCGATGGCTATATTCTTATTTATACAATATATAATATAATTTATTCAAGGAGGACAATCTCGGCGATACTTCTACGAGTATTAAATTTGATGTTATATTGGTGATGAAACATGGTACTTGAAAGAGAACTAATATACTGCTGAAAAAATTCAGTTATGATTCGCTTAATATAATTATAATGAACTGTCTTTCGAGTTTCAAATCCGGTTGTGGTGATAAATCATGCCTGGTCGCTAGGCAGTTATACTATACAAATCTCACATATTCACAATGTAATTTTTTTACCACTCTCGCAAAAATTACGCTGCTTATGCTGAAGGTGAACATTGATAAACTATATAAATTAGGTTTTTAGTTGTTATAAATATTCGATGTTAAATCAATTGTCTTATTACGAAGCCATTCAGCCAAACAATTCATTGCAAATATATCGACATCTGGAGCAAATTTATTAGCAAACAGTGGTTTCTTCTCAATAATCCAGTTCAAATCAGCACATCCATAAACACATACTCCACGTAGAAATTTTCCGCCGCATGTCGTTGAGGGACCTTGCCATTGTATTGTTCTAGAGAGGGTATTTCCACTGTAAGTGTCGTATTTTTTATCAGGTGGTGTGCTGCCGGGTAATCGTGGATGCATTCGTTGCAATGTTGCCCAAACTGTTTCGTCCGGTATTTTTGTATCTTTTGCCCATTCAAGGAAATCCAAAAACTCTTTGATCTAAACAATCATGGATTTATTTTCAAAGCGACATATAATATTGCAAATTCAACTATTTTAAATTTTAAAAACGTTCACAACCTTCACATGAGCACCACTGGTGGACCACTGTCGCAATCCGACACAGTGGAAGTATAAGAGTTTAACAGGAGGGAGATGTGAAAAGTGCAGAATTTTTTTTATGTATTAATATATTTTTCTTCATCAATTTTATTTTCAGGAGACTATTTCTGTGTTAGTGTTGAGTAGAGCATATATGAATGCGGTTATGGGATATGTCCCAGGAGATTTAAAACCGACCGATAAGTTTACCCAAACAGTTAATGTGCATTTATTACATACATGAAATGATAGCGGGTGGGAGACACCGTTATATGGAATTTTTTGTTGCAAGAATACATTATTATAGAACTGAAAAATTGATTGTTTCTGAAACTTAGCACTGAACACTAAAAGTAATCCAACGTGTCAATGGGGAAGAATTTGGCATGGTATATTTAATCTGAAGTGAAACACCATTTCAAATCAAGGCTTACAGCAGCGGAATGATGTTGTCTTAAACATTTCAAAAATAAATATTACCTGTTAATAAATATTCAACAGCTTCTCTTTTGAATACAAAATAATCTTTTCCAGTGAACGGTTGAATGTTGTGAGGCGGGGGTTTCTTTTTAACATCTGTTTTATATAATCCTCCATGGTCGATATCAATATTCATTGAATGATTGTACACAAACTGAAATCTGTGATTTTAATTTGATTAAAGATAATTTCCTTTGCGTCGACATGTTTTGGGTAAATCGATCTATCAAACAACGTAGATTTTCTTTTTCCATCAATACGTATAGTTGCTAAAATGGTTCGGTATGAATTGATTCAAGTTCTTTGAAAAGCGCCAACAGAAATGAAACTCAATATATTTATTTTAAGCTACAATTTCGGAAATAGTATATATATATATATATGCAAATGAATACTTTTGATCAACCTTCTGTATTTTTCCTCTGTGATCTTAATGGTACGCGATGGTACACTATTTAATCCATGCAAAGTTTTCAACGCTCGGATAATTTCAAGATTAGTTTTTGTTGGGTAATCTTGTCCGCATGTATTGATTACGTAATACCACCGATAATCGTTTTTCCTGAAAAAATTCTCAAGGTTAGCCACCCACAACCGGATTAGGTAGTTGAAAAAATCAAATCAGTAAAAAGAATAAGCAGTGTGTTGAAACTATCTAAATGATAATTTCAAGACAAAATTAGCTTAAGCAGATGTTCATTGGGTCACTCATAAATACCAAGTGATGAGATGATAACTGTTTTTTTTTTTACTTTCATAGTACCGTTCTGGTAGTCTTATGATCATTATGCAGCACAGCGTTTCAAACAAGCTCTCTTGATTCAACCACTAATACACACGCTACGCATAGGTATGAGAAAAATTTCTTGAACCACACAATAGATTGCTTGCAATGCCTACATAGCTATGAAAACGGTATGGCCGTTATGAACGCCACCGCGTATATGAATTTATCCTTCCAGAAACCAACACGTCATTTTTTGTCAAGCCATTTGTAAAAATTTAAACCGAATAGTTTTGTGCTTTGAATTCAATAATGTCTGCGTGACAGGTTAAAATTCTCGGGATTACTACCTTGCACTAACCTCACAGAGTACGCAATGCATTCGCTCGACTTAGTCAAACCAGAATGATTCCTGGTTCCCTAGAATGATATATTTCCCACCCATAACCACTTATCCATAGTCTTATCCAGGGCGGATGATTGAAAAACTGACCTAACGATACAGTGGGAAACTTCATTACATAGATATTGGGGGCACTTGAATGTTCACTTCAATTAAAATTACCGTTTGATAAGATCTTCCATGCAGTAGAGACTAGCTTGTACAATTGTCCAGTGACCGTACCAAACTCTCGTCATGTGTTGCGCCAAGAACACGTTGTTAAAACATTTTATAATTTTCATGACTCGAGTTTGAAATTCAGCCAATGATTTTTGATCAATATGAATACAATAAATATTTTGAGGCTGGTAAATTGTCCGCAACAAATGTTCAAATGATTGAATATTTCTGGAAGTAATACATCATTAGACATTACATATTCCATTGCACTGGTACTGCAGATAATTGAAAATTCAGAAACAATTATAACGAACTAAATATTTGCCATGAATATTTAATCTAGCTGTTTAATCTAGCTGTTTTTAAGGAAATAAATACAGAAATTACATTTTAAGCATGCTGTTGCCAAAAACGTACAACTTTTCTACAAGGCAGTAGGGTATACATACAAAGCAGTTAATAAATATCTGAATTGCAATTTATGTCAATATAATTACGATTGGTTGCAGTAATATTTTTAATTAAATCATGTGGTAACCGTTCTGAATAATCCAAAACACCATACGAATATTATTTGTTGTAGTATAACGAAAAAGTATTTTTATTTCTCAAACTTACTTATAAATGCTGATGATGTATGCAATTGGATATTCCGCTTCTTCTAACGTCAGTGAAGATGTAATATACTTTCGTGATTTCACATATAAAGTACAATTGTCCGCCCAACTAGCAACCGTTTGATCTGAATTCAACAGCATATTTTTCCGTGTGCCATTTTTCTGATAAAATAAATTATGAACTTAAATTTTTTTCCTATTTGCCTCATTTTATATCATTTACACTGAAAATGTATTTTTAACTAACAAATTTCAAAATAATTCAATTTACCAACAATACAAAATTTTCAAAACATATTGACCTCAGAATATAGTATTTCTCTTTCGGTTTCAGCAAATTTTATTGCTGTCTCATCGCCTGTCATTATAGCGTCACAGTCAACATGTGTCATGGCTCGACTTTTAATAAATCTCAGACTCGTCAAGTAGTCTTTCGTAGGCATCATGTATTTTGCTTGAACTTCATTTTGTAAAATTGGCAATGCGGAAGCAGGTAAACTTGGAAGGGAAGTATTGATTGGATATGAAATATTCTTATCTTCAGAGACTAGCGTATTTCTCAATAGCAGCCGACCGGGCCTGAACCTGATCCATTCCCGTCCATACTTCACTAAATCTGTATAAACCTGTACAAGATGTAGTGTAAATTTACACGGATATATTAAGACACGTAGAATAGTCAAGATAAAACTTCTTTTACCCATAAAACTATAATTCCAAAACTGCATGTCAATAACACTGCCACGCCTCCGAGCCGTAATAAGTCCCACTTCATTAGTTTACTCTGATATATTGAAAAAAAAAATTCAATCATTAGGTAGCTATCATAAGTACGTATAGAATTATATACATATTTAGGGTTTTGTTTTTTATCAATTCTAAAAAAACATCGTGTTTTAAAACAAGGGCTTGTTTTAAATCAAATTTTTTTTGTATTTTTTATTGAAATATCACTTGCATGGCCGCAAAACTACGCCAAAACGTTGCATCCTGGCAGCTGCACACGCAGCCGGAATTATAATTTTAAAAATGTAAGTAAAATTATTATTTTGAATTTTACTCCTATTGCGTACATTTATCGCCACGTTTGTATCTCCACCAAAGTCATAAGACTTTACCCGGAATGTTTAGCCGAGATATCGGAGAGACGTTTTGAGTAAGAAAAATCATGAAAATTAGCTCACGAGCCTACTACAAAAGCAATTAAATCAAGTGCAGCCCTTCGGCAAAACTAGTGGGTTGCGATAATGAAGAATATGCTTATATCGCAAACTGGTTAACACGTCATCAAAATCTGTTTTTTTTTTCAATGTTTCTCTTTCAACACTTAGAAGTGCAAGATCCCTGAGACGATCCTGTCCCGTTGATTCACGCGAATACGACAAAATAAGTTTCAATTTGCTGAAAGATCGTTCACAGCTTGCAATTGAATCCAATAAACACAATAAAACCAAGAAGAGCCAAAGGAGTTTCTGGTTGATCTTCAGTTCTGTTACTGAGCAGCATTCTGCAATCTCTAATTTCGGTGAAAAGTTCGTGGCCATTGATGTCCGCGTCGTAGAAATTTGCAAAATCTGTGCAATCCCGACGAATTGTCGAAAACGGCATTGGTGTCTTTTAGCCCAGTATAATATATTTTATGTAAGTCTGCCGCAAAGTACGGTACTTGACAAACACGAAATACAAAACCACGTATTACTCAAAACATGTAGGCTATTACCAGCACTTCGCCGTTGCCTTTTGTCTCCAGCACAGAACTAATATCAAGTTACATCGGAGTGCGCAGGCAAGAACTCAACGATACAGAACCACGTAATTGAGCCGGTGCATTTTGTTACCTAACGTTACTAAATCGATTTTTGCTTTATTTCCCGGCCAGATTTTTGGCCATGTAATTACGATGGAAATCTGACCGTGCGCGAGCTATGTGCCTGATGACGTCGGCAGTCGACGTAAGTGGTCTGATCAAGTGTGCAGTTTGCAATGTACTAAGACTAGATGTCTGCCGCCGGTGTGATCTTGCTTGTGACCGTTTTTATACCCTTGTTGTGAAATTTTTGCAAGACTCATTTTGGCGCCCCTGTACCTTGGCGCCCGGGGGCCTATGTACTCCATTGCCCCCCTAAGCTACGCCTCTGCATTTATGTTTCTTAAGTATTTTTTGTTTAATTGAAATTCTTAAAAACATATAATTGTATACTGCTCAACATGCTTTTCGTAACTTTCAATTCGTGAATATTTCGTAATTTTCGAACTTTAAAAATTGTCCGGTAGAAATACAAAAACGATGAAATGGTACTTATACTATACTCCGTTCAAAGTTCAAGTTGGGAATTGGAAAGACCAAGAATGAGACGGAAAGCTCATGATTTTTGATGCAAAAAACTGATATTTACACTCAGACTATTTATCTACGATAGTTTATGTGAAACCCATCATGTTTAGCACTCTCTCAATTTCTCTTCCAACAAGCCTTCCTCCAGTCGCGGTCACCTACAATGAACTAGCATAGCAAAGCATTATTTGAAAATGGATAGTTCTTTGATAATATAACGTAGAAGGCGTATTAATTTTTTTCTCACATTCAATCCGTGACAAATTATATTCAGGAGAAAAAAGCATAAGATATACTTGGGCAAAATACTGCAATACTACAAAAAAACATCAAATCCTGGCAACTACTACAACTGGTCTGGAAACAAACATCGTCAAAATCATTTAATATAGAGCAATTTCCTGTTCACTGATAGAACTAATCATACCGCTTTATTGTAATCAAATCGCCACTTCAACGATTGAAACAGTTGACATTGACAAAAGCCACCATTCCCAAGACTGCTTCTATAAATCATGGTTTGTGTGGTGTCAAATGTATTCACCGACGTTTATTTTTATTAACAACACCAAAAGAACAGAATATGTTGACTTTGTCTCCTTTGAGCCGTGCAATATCTCTCGTAGTACATTATGTATAGTAATAGTATAAGAAAGAAAAAAGAATAAACGCAATAACTTATATTCTGGTGATTTCTACCTCGTCAAATATAATTCATAGAATTTGCTTTCTTTTGTTCTAGTCAAAGTGATTACAGATCGCCGGATTTGTTTCATAATCATTGATGACTCATGACAAGGATTTTGGTTTGTAATAAAATTCACAAGAATAGCTTTACTTTTGCATTGTTCGCGGGCCACAATAGTGCCAAGAACTTCGCTAGTTGCCTCAGCAAGCCACAACACTAGTCAATTCAGTGACATTAGTGATGCAACAATATATATATATGTCAAAAGATTTCTTGGTTAATTTTATGACGAAACAACACGGAATGCGATTTTTGATTCCTCCCCGAATGCGACGCGGGCCACAGATAATGAAGCGGCGGGCCACATTGGCAATTTATTAGTTTGTACATGGTTTTACAATTTCGGCATTGACTATACTGTTCCATATTTGTGTATACATTTATTGTTTTGTTCAACAGTAAGTATAATATTGGTTCATGAGTGGATTGCAATACCATTGTGGTCAAAATTGTCATTGTTGTCAAAAATTGGAGCAGAGAAAAATTGGGATCCCCGAACGTTGAATTAGGTTTTATGTTTCCCTGGGTGAAGCGTCGGGCTTACAAAACACCACTTAGTTTCAACTCCAGCTTAGTTTTTTTGATAACTTTTGGCTCTCATTATACACACCAACAGTCAAATAATTGGCGTTTTTGGATTTTCTGATGCTCAATCTAATCTAAATGAATTTCGTTCTGGAAAGTACGTTTTTTGCCAAGATCAGCGTCTCCATTTTCATAATTGTTACTCTCAATTGCATCTTTATCTGAAATTGTACCATTAGAAGTACACGCTAATTCAATGCATTTTTTTGCTGAAATTCTACCCCCCGCCATATAAACATTTGTTCTGCCACATCGCTGAGAAGACAACTAGGAAATCTGAATCAATCTAAATCACTTCTCTATTATTCTAACAACGTATTTATAGATAATATATTCATTTAGTAATAAATCTGAGTCATATCCCTTGTTCATAGTTTATGTCACGCCTTCATAACTGGTTGTTTACAACAAAATTATCGTAAGTCAAATCCTTCACTCCTCACCAAATTCTTATTTACTGCATCCCGATATCACCTCATTATACAGTATATGCCCTGGGAACTTATATATTACATTAACTTATAATTTGCAAACATGAACGAAACGGAAATCCATTTCCGGAAACAACGGAAATGGATACAATCAATACGGTACAATGGATACAAAGGATACGGTACAATCAATTTTTACAGCTTCTGCACTATTCCTTCGTTTCATGCACAGATATGACGAATTCGCTGTATACTAATTGATATAATTACATGACATATGACCATGGTTCACCAGCCTGACACACACACTGGATACCGCAACTTGCAGAGGATGCTTTCAGCGTTTTCTAGCGGGGCCAATGAAAAATAGCAGTTTTACCGATCCAACTAAGCACCGCAGTAGTAAAGAGGTCGGAGGAACATTTTCTGCGGCGAAAAATGCGGGTCATGGCTAGTTTGCAATTAGCTGTTGCATACGTGTTAGTGTTACGCACTGGAGAAGATTTAATATTAATGATTCCGTAATCTAAACCTGTATTCTATTTGTGCGGCAGTCAGGTAGCCTGTGTTTGTATGTCAATAATGCGACAACAGTCACTTGTTGCTGCGTGAGTATTTGCCGCTTAGAGGCATAATGTCTCAAATGTGTATTTGTTGGACGCACTGGGAAAATAAATGCCCTAATATTGGGAACCTTTGTTGATTGACGTAGTGTTGGTAAAAAAGTAAATGGAACGACTTTTTATCACTTTGTAAGGCGCTCCAGAAGTATATGTATCAATATGGAGGTATGGAGGTGTTTGTATGTCAATAAGGCGACAACAGTCACTTGTTGTTGCGCGAATATTTGCCGCTTAGAGGCATAATGTCTCAAATTTGTATTTGTAGCACGCACTGGGTGAATAAAAGCCCTAAATATTGGAAATCTTTGTTGATTGACGCATCGTTTGTAAAATAGTAAATGGAATGGCTTTTTATTACTTTTTAAGGCGCTCCAAAAGTATGTGTACCAATATGAAGGTATATAATTTTGTTCGCCTACTTTACATCAAGTTGTGTAAAGGGACGGAAGCCTACGGGCAGGGGATATATATATTAACTTGGCTAACACAGACAGTCCCTGAACTCGTGTTAGAACTAAAATTAAAAAAAATCGGAATAAAATTAAGAGCTAACCCTAACCTAGTACACATATCGCGGGAGTACCCTTTTTAATGTGTTTGCTTAATTATAGTTGATTGAACCGAGGTCTTCTATTCCATGGTATTATATACCATCCACCATTTTTTCCTTCCTGCAGGAGTGAACAAGCAATTTCTATCTCTACTTTTCATGCTCAAAATATTTTTCACAGAACCAATATAACTATATATATATACTTCTTGTTCATTGAACATACAAAATTCATTCTTGTGAATATCTGTTTTTGGAAAAACTGCTAACTTACTTTAACAAAACAACATTTTTGCAAATTCCATTCTTGTAAAAGTTTTTATCGTATAGTCACGCCTTCGTAAAAGTTCGCATGTGTCTGACTATAGTCTGCAAAGAGTCCCGCTCGCAAAGCTACATTTTTGCATTTTCCATTCTTGCAAAAGTCTCTTCTCGCATACACACTTTTACTGATCACAGGCTCGCAAAACTATATATTCTGACAAGTATTTGGTATTGCAATACAATAAAACTAACAATTATCAAACTCTGAAAGGGCGATATATATCCTTCAGTACAACTCCGCAATTTGAAGCCGTTAAGGTCTGTCTATTCACGATCTTGCCAAATTTCATTTACACCTCAGTGCTTCTTGTCAAGAGATAAAACTTTTCGAGTATGTGATATTCCATTTATACAGGTTGAATACATAAAAACCACAGAGGTAATATATATAACATAACTACATTTTAATTAAACTCATCACTACAGCTTATCGTATACATTTTTTTGAAAAAGTTTTTTGAGGCGATTTTATGGGAACATTTTTCAAATAAAAGTTATTTTTCATAGCTTTGATAAAATTGAACGCAAATATATTTTTACGTAATGCAAGGGATCGATGCTTTAGTATATCTATGGGACACGAATTCAAATGACTATCAGAAAGCTGAAGAAATTCTTCAGAAAATGTTTATGGAATGGTGTTGTACCGAACGTCATATGAAGGTAAGTCAGTAAATTGAAAGAAGAAAACGCAAAATCTAGAGATAAGTAGCGGTCCCGTTGGACTCACAAAATATTCGAAAAAAGTAATGCCTTCCGTGACTTCTTCTGTTTTAAATAGTAACAACCTGAAATCGATTGCCCTATTAGTTGAAGAGAAAATAGATTATGCACGGCCCCGACAAAAATCTCAACAACAACATCAACAACATTTCACCAATGCAATTAAAAGGTACATCTCGTGTCTAATAATGCTCTGGCGACCATAGATTGTTATTCAAATCCCAATATAATATATATAAGTTACACGATTATATATCATTTCTTCTTCGAAAGCCATGTAGATATATCTCTTTAAATTGATGATCTGTCATCAACAAGCTGAAAATAATAGTTTTGTTTCAATTAAAATGGCTCTATTTTTTAAAGCTGCTGATTGAATTTATATGGCTTTGGAATAAAAAAAATCAACGATTACTTACATACAGATTGCTTGAATAGGAGCTTTAAAAACATTGCTGTATAATTATTATAAAATGAATATTACTTACCTCGGTTGCACATAGGCCCAACATATCCAGAGTCACACGTACAAGTGCCGGCGGAATAATTTCCATGAAGACAATCTGTTACGATGGAAAATATTTGTTTTAAATTTTTTCTTTGAAACATAAGTTTTAAATTATTCGAAATTGATGATATAGAAGAATGGGATTGATGTTAAAATATATGTGAAGAGGAAATTAAATACTTCAACTTCTCTACTACGACAAAAACTATAATGTGAATAGTGTGTAAAAATAGTTTGCCGATTTATTTAGGAACACTAGACTGTATACTACAAAATCTTCTTTCGTAATATTTGTTTTCAATAGTCATGCCGATCTCGCGACATTTGTATAATTGTGTAGTGTAGTAGCTCTGTAGTGAGGTATTTTGACAGATATCTTAAAACTAAAAAAGACTGATATTGTGAATTAATGATGGTTTGCTTCTATCCGTTTCCATCCGTTACGATATACACTGTAACTTTTTCAATATGTCGCTATAACCTTCATCGGGAGTTTTTATAGAGTCCCAACTCTGTCATTAATGCTTTTGATTTTTTTGTTTGGGAAGCAATTATTCACCATATATTATTTTATATACCTTCTGTTTGGAGTGATGATCATATAAATTGAATAATTGTGAGTAAATTGGGATAGACTTGTCACTTATGTCCATTACTACGTCTACAACAATAAATTCTCTGTAACAAAGTCAATTTGCAAAGGTCTATTTTTAATCGGGATTTTCAAGTGTTACGAGGTATAACCAAACATTGAATCACTCTACAGTAGACTCTAGCTAGAGCAACTCCGTAATTCATAGTTGTGTGGTAACTCATATTTTCATAAAGTATATAAATTTCTATAATTTTTTATATAAATTTTACTACCCATCGAGAAAGACTACTGATTTTTATTGATTATAAATCAGTTGGGTGTAATAGCATAAAACTTACATGTGTCACATGCCGCCTCATACCAATTTGCATTGCAGGCACAAAGGCTAGGAGAAGAACTGACGACTCCGTTCACACAATCTAAAAATAATAATATATTTTTCTATTTACCAACACTGTTATGTCATTCATTATGCTTCTTGAGAAAAAAAACGCGACAAACAATTTGTAAATGAGGAAACGTGATATTTACCATCAAAAGTAAACCCATCGCCAGATCCCGAGCTAATCGTAGTCACACCATTGTTAGTGCTTCCTATAAATGCGTTGGGCGGTCCCACCAGTTTCCTGAGAAGTACTCGACCTCCAGTGGCGGCTGAAAATGAGTAATTTCAAACTTCAAGTCGATAAAAGTCGGAAGAAAAGAATGCAACAGAACCCTCAAAAGCATCATTAATCTTGTATTAATATATATATATATCTATTATAATAAATAGGATCAATATTCCTTGACCAAATTTGTACAAAATTTGATACTTGTAGAATAACAATATATATATATATCCTAGAGAAGGGGTCGGCAACCTTAGGCTCGCAGACCAGATCCGGCCCGCGGATCCTAGTGAAATAATCGGGCCCGTGACACTGCATTGTAGTATAACAAAACGGCTGTTTTGACGATTGTATTTTTTACGTAACAGAATTTATTGTGAGACACGTGTAGACTAAATTATATTATAACCCAACAAGCATATAATTCAAATTCACAATTGATTGTTTAATGAAACTATAATTTACCTATAATTAGACAAATGGCAACAAAACGCAGAAAGTTGATGTTAAGTGCAAGGCGTTCAATGGCGCAGAAAATATTCAGAAGGAATTTTTGAGCTGCAATGCAATGCGGAAATAATCTATATTCTTTTTGAGAGATGTCTCACTACTTGATTTTCATAAAAAGTATCTTCTTGGAAAAAAACTTTATTCTAATTTGACATACCATGCGAAAAAAATTCACATCGATGTTTGAATGTACATATGCATGCGAACAATTATTTACGATAATGAACATTACAGCGAACAAGCTTAGAACTCGAATTAGTGGTTCACATTTATAAAAATGTTTTAATCGTGGCTTCATCCAGTGACCCATTTAGAAAATGTTTCCCATATAGTGATGTCGAAAACGTATCAAGCATGATGTAACAAGGGTGTCACATTAAATGTCATTCGTAATTTTTTTTAAAGTAAGATGACTAAGTTTAGTTCACGAGTCGTCGCAGTCTTCGCGCGCTGCTTAAAATGTAAATCTCTGATTTGTGTGAAAAAATTATGATTTATCGGCAATATGTTGGGTTTTCAACTCTTTAAAAATATGTGTGGCCCGCCAAGACTTGCAACCCTTAATTTTGGCCCGTGAGCGACAAATGTTGCCGACTCCTGTCCTAGATGTTTCTCGATGATTTAATTAGTGAAATGTATGTTCATGAATAACTGAATTCGAAAAACCCACCAAGTTATTTCGCTTTAGGGTATGAAGATTCTTAAAAGCGAGTGGATACAATTTAGATTATACAAAACGCGAAAATGAAGTTTTCAACCGCAATGCCGCGAGGACGGGAAAACAAAATGATGTTTACCTTCGATTTGTCCTTTGTGTATTGCTGCTATGCATACTTGCGAATCCTCGGTGTATTCTCCTGTACCTTTAATATCATTATAGTTGTGTTGGTCGCAATCAGACGGACATAAAAAATCTGTTACTGTCGTTGTGATGCCTAAATCTCCAAATGTCAATATGCAATCCATCGGTATAGTAGCTGAAACAAATATTATCCAAATAATGACAAAATATTTTCGATATAGAATACCACGAATGTTTGGCATGTAATTTGTTGATGGGTCGAGTGCAATTCGAATTAAAACTAAACTAGAAATTATCTATTTACGAAAGGTTTATAATTCCTAATCTCTTTTTCATACATTGGCTACGGTATTGATATAACAGCGATGTGAAAAACACAACCACACCAATACTCTCTATATTTTTTTTTATAACGACGTCTCTTTATCTCCTTTATTAATTACGTTTGTTGAGATGTCAGCACATTAAAGATATATTCTGATAAAGACGCCTTCAACCAACGAAGGGCGTATTTGTGCATCTCTTTAATTTAATTCATAATTGTTGCGTTTGCAACACAATACCTGGTTGTTATATCATTAAAATTGGCCATTTTAATAAAGCAGGCAACATATCTGGAGTTCAACCTCCACGGCCATCGAATCACCCAGGGGGTAAATTGAGAAAGATTCTGGTACATCCATTTATAATGGCTCCCTGCGTAATAATTGTTGTTTGTCCACAGGAAAATGCGAAAAACCAAATTAAAACATTTAACAGCCGCCATCAAAGACATTCGTAAATGACGAATCCGTCCATTTACTCACCCGAAATAAATTTGGCAGTATAATTTCAAAATATATTATGAAAATGTATTACTTACTGGCAAACTGGAAACCAGGATAAAATGCATCCCACAGTTGTGATGTGATGCCATTGGCTGTATCTGCAGGGTAGGTTCCGAGTCCTCGTGTTTTTATAACAATCACTTGGGTATCTGAAGTAGCTTTGAATAAAATATGTATTTATGTTAGAAATGACCTCCTCGGCAACTGGACAAGACTGATTCCATATTACAACTATTGTGCAAGATTTATAATTTTTAAATGTCGAACTCCCTGTGTAGCATTTTATACGTGTATTCCGTGTTTAGTCAGATTTACATCGATAAAATGAGTATAATATTAGCTTGTTCTTATTATTCTTTTTTCTTAATCTTTCGTATATATATATATATATTTATGGCAGCAATTGTCACCAAACAACATTCCGTACCATGAATTAGCTCTTATCGTATCTTTCATTTCATTGTTTGCAAACTAATTACTTAAATTTTTGCCAGAAGCAATTTATTTTTCGGGCCGAAATACAGTGAATTCATATAGGACTTGTGAGGTTGCTAATTATCGTATTCATTTACCTGATGTTTTATAACTCTAAGCCTAAGTAAACCGATGACGGTATGCTTGCTCTAGTATTTTGTCTCAAGTTGCGCAACACACTGCATGCGCAAATCTGTATGGCATCTATGATTTTGCCAATTGTCAAACGTAGGATTCAAATTTATGATTACCATTTTGTCGGGACATTAATATCATGTAGAAAAGAGTTCTGGTTTGTTGCCATCGATTAAAATATATATATATAAATTCTTAGAGCTTTTGGTTGTCGTATGTTGAAATCCATGTAAAAACAATGGATGTAGACACAATCAATGTAGCGATCAAAATATATGTTTTTTAGGGTCGAGAAATTTTGCACTGGTTTTCGCATTTAGGAATTCTACTTTTATTCAATTCAACACGTGTAATTCTGCTATGATTTTTCAGTCGAAAATTGGTATTAAATAACAACAAATAGGATTTTGCCACGCCAGCCAGTAAAATTTTATCCCACCAATTTTTCATAAATTAAAAGGTAACGTATTTCATACAGTTTGTACGTATGAGTTGAATTCTCCTCAGTTATACAGATTCTACATTTTTCATCATGAATATACTTCCCACGTACATGTGGGCGGGACTTGACCATCCAGTACAGCTGCAGCACAAATTTGTGAATCCCTTGTGTATTCAGAGGTCCCCCAAACATCGTCAGAATGACTTTCACAATCATTTCCACAATTATGAACAAACACGTTGGGTTCATAATCTTCTACACTAAAAAAACAACTTGCTGGAACAGCCGAAGGATCTAGATATAAAAATGAATAAATATGTGTGTAATGATCAAATTTCAATCTGCTATTAGGTATCTGACCGATATATGCAATCAGATTTTTGGAAGACAATGCTGTAGAACCAGTTCAGGTATGGACTGACGACCAATGAGTTACATCAAGGTAAAACATGGCAGTTTTAATCTAGATTGCCAACGTTGTTTACCCAAATACATTTTATTCCAACGTTGGATCGGTTTACTTTCTCATTATCGCTCTCCATTTTACAGTGAGGCCGAAAATTATGGTTATCCGCTGCCCATAAATAACTGGGTATCGTTCTGGGTTCTTTAAGTATGATAGTAAGTATGATTGTACCCAGGTTGTGTTCTCTTTGAAACATTTTTCGAGTGACTTATTCAGCATTGTAGACAAACTGGCGTCCCTTGTCAATCACTCACTTGGTTTTCTGCTAAATCTCACTTTCTACTGTCAGGACATGTCGATAGCCAAAATAATGTCTACAAGGCACAGCACATCCGAAGAACTCTTACCGAGACATTTCCACTCAGTAAAAGTGCATGCATGACATTTCCAAATATGGTACAATCGGCCGGCCCGTATTGGTTGGAATACAAAGATGAAAGGCCACAAACAGTGAATGCGGAGTTACGTGGCGTGCTGAATAAGTTCTGGACATCACTTAAACGTTTATAGAGCATTTGATCGAGATGACCCTGTGGTTCCAGCAAAACAAGACCACCCCCACACATCAAAGTACACGTCATTTATCGAACATGTCCTCCAGATTTTTATGAAAACAATCGTCAATCAATAGGCTAATTCAAGACTATAAATCCAGAAAAAATCAAGGGCATGCCTATACAGGAGTGCATGTGAGTAATTAATAATTTTGTGCAACGAATGCAAATATGTCTCCAACGCCGAGGAGGTCATTTGGAAAATATTCTAGTTAACATAACTTCTGTGCAACTCGTCGAGGTTCTTGAAAACAGTGGTCACAAGCATACAAAACAGAAGTTCAAGTGTCAAGAAAAATAAAAAATTCACTGTATTTTCATATAAGAAATTTACGAATTCTGTTTATTTGGGGACACCCAATATATATATATATATGTATGTATTTATATACTTTAGACCAGTGGTCGGCAAACTTTATGTAGTTGCGGGCCAAATATCATATTTCCGGTAGCCTGCCTGCTGCATGAACTACCGCCTGCAAACAATAGGCAAATAAAACTTCAAATTTTGGCGCACATGCACCTTGCTGTGTTGAAAGCCTGCCACAATGAGACGTGTATGTGGCCTTTTTAATATATTTTCAAACATTACATTGCTTTTATTAACTCATTATCAATGTGAAGAATAATGTCTTTTCTGTGTCACCGCCAAATCGTTAAAATCAAATGCCAACTGCTTTGCCCCGCAGCGCGTCGTCCTGATGACGATTTGACAAACGAGTATGTCCTACTCTAGTCTTAAGCGTCTTTTCGTTTCCCAGATATTTTAATAATTAACATAAACTTAACTCATAACTACAACCAACGACGGGACACGTTCATCAAGTAAACGACATAGAATTGATGTAACTAACCATAAAACTAGTAACGTACAGCAGCACTTGTTGCCACATGAATCCGTGTGGTGCCATAAAAAATTGAATGAATGAATATTTTTTTTATGTATTTGAAGTCGGGTCGTTCGGGGGCCGCAAAAAATTAGTTCGCGTGCTGTATTTGGTCCGCGGGCCGCGGTTTGCTGACCACTGCTTCAGACTCAGGACTCAGGTATATCATGCAGGGGTGTTATGCACTAAAAAATTTCCCAACATGTCCTTCATTGTGGCGCAATAATTCTCTAAGTTCTGATAAGTTCAAACCGACACACTCGTTGCCAATAAAAAAAATATGATAAATATATATTGAATTCCCTTACCCAGAAAGCTAAACGCATTATAACTGCTACCATATGTCTGTGTTGTCACCAGGTTGGCTGTCGATCCAGTAAATGTTGAAACTGATCCAACTTTGTTTACTATGACGATCCCTCCAGTGTCTGAAATCCGAGAGTTGGCAAAATAGCAATAAACGCAAAATAACTAACTGACTTTCAAAGTTTCGAGTCAGGTCACTGCACTCCCTAGTCACGAGTCAAGTAGAGTCGCAGCAGTTACGAGTAAATAAATCGAGTGCGTGTTGGAGTATATTTGCGCGTTAACCCAACATTAATTTGAGAGTCAAACGAAGATTTAATTTTGTATCGATAACATTTACTCTGGCATGAACGCGTTTATTTTGGATATTTTCAATTATATTATATGACGTTATTTTCCTCCATTTCAGAAATTTGTTCAAAATTATCTCCAACTCCCAGTTAATCGAGTTCGAGTCGAGCATTGTCTTATTTATTGACTGTGCAACAGTCTTTAAAAAATGTTAATACAAGTCGATTCGGGTCACTGAATAGAGCCTCCCCAATTCGGACTGCTCGATATAGGTTATTTTAACGCCATCTATTCGATTATTTATTTCACTTTCATAGCAACAGGATTGCACGATTTTCTTCAATGACACTACATTATATTGGTTTGTTCACAATTGCTGAAGAGCTATTTCAAGTCAGCTTCCATTTGTGTTAATCGGAAAATTTAATTACATGCGTTACATCAGCAGCACGACACTAAAGAAAAAATGGGTAGGCCTGCAATATTATTATATTTCACGTATTACCTGTAATTCTACCATCATGAATAGCAGCGGCGCAAATAAGTGAATCGATTGTATATTGCGCTGTTCCATAAACACCGAGGACATTCCCAATGTGGCAACCTGGAGGACACACGAAGGCAAGTTCATTTCTCGAGTCGCCCTCTGCAGTTTTATCACATGCATCTGGCTGCAAACTAGGCACAGGCTGGCCTGAAAAAAATGATATGAAAATGCATATTGGCTTAAAATTAATTAGTGATATATATATATGCTAATTTATCTCCGCCATTTATTCGGGTTATATTTTATATAGATGGCAAGGAATGTATAACGAAATATGTCACAAAATATTCATCATCAATGTTAGACCAATAAAATTGCAACATACAATTCTTAGAAAAAATAAATAAACGCTACAGAGACTTATGCTTACTACATAACTTCTTTTGATGACACTCATTTTAGTTTACGGTAAGTAGTACGGTAATTTGTGAATAATATTAGACGGCATTCCACAAATATCTATGACAAATCTCGGCTCAAAAATGTATCCACCAAATTAATAGTATTTCAATTTAAAAACAGTGTTTAAACATAAAATTCTATGCATCGGGCAAAGCATTTCATTCCAACTTACCTTTTATCCTAAGAAAAAAGCAAAGCACTAAGAACGCAGTGAGCATCGTTTTTTTTTTTGCAAAAATTATTATATATACTTGATTAATAATTGGGTTGCAAAATAGTATTGATAATTCTGAATAAAAATGTATTGAATAAAGTTTTTGTTTCATTATAAATTTACAGTTTATAGCTGCATTTGCTACGATAAGCACAAACGGTAACATATTTTTGGCCCACCCTGTATATATATATGACGTACAATCACAATGAATACAGATGGATATCATGCTGAAATATACATCTTACGTTTTTTACTACTGAAAAATTTATCTGGCAATCTACGCTGGCAATTTTATCTCAAAGTCCGTTTTAATTTACGATTAATAATGAAACAGGAGTATAGAGATTTTTACTATTTTGGAAACCATAAAACAGGGGTTCCCAAAGATTCGGTGTTATGGAGCCCGTTAAGAGGTTGGCTATTATTTAAGGAGCCCCACAATAAATTTATGAAAAAAATAACATACTGTTATTCACCGATTAACGTTCCCCTGAGTAACGTAAAAATACTTGGAACTAATAGATAATGTCATATCTTGCACCTTGTTGCCACAATTCTACGCTATCGTTGTAAAATTTCATTAATGCCATTTTTGCTTCGATGGACAGTTACAAAATTAGCCACGTCGGTATTCCAGTAAGTAAACAAATAGCCCACGATGCCCATAAATTTTTTTCACGAAGTCCTGGAGCTCCGTATGTAACACTTCGAGTAGCATATGAGTTGAACAGAAAACTAAAACGATGAATTTATATATTGCATAGCGTAGTGGACCGTACATATTCTAATTCCGGCGCTTGGTAACAAGCGGAAATAATATGACTTCCTCTCATTTCTCGAGCGCTTAATATGTTTAATTTCCTGGAATCAAAAAATCAAATTTTAGAGACAAGTATCATAGATGGAGCATGTTTTAATTAGGCCAATATTAACGGCCAAGATATACCTCAAATCCAAAAAAGAAAAAATTGCTTCACGTTTGTGATGAACAATATATTGTAACTGTTACGGCAGACCATATTGAAAACATCTGACACACTCAGTGTGCATAAAGAGATTTAGCGTGATCTTTGAACGTTCTTTTATTTTGAAAATTTTATTCTGATTCTTATCAGAGCATCTCAACATCCTGTTGTTTTATACTGTTGTCAGTTTCATTTAACGAAAAGCGAGAAGGATTGAAATTCCGGATATGAACGCTGTTTAAAAAGAAGCTGGATTAAACAACAAGCAGTTTATATAATGAGTCATCCACTTTCTGGAATCTATGTGACACGTCGCAAAAAGATTAAGCGTGATCTTTGAACGTTCTTTTATTTTGAAAATTTCATTCTAATTCTTATCAGAGCATCTCAACATCCTGTTGTTTCATACTGTTGTCAGTTTCATTTAACGAAAAGGGGGAAGGATTGAAATTCCGGATATGAGCGCTGTTTAAAAAAAAGCTGGATTAAACAACAAGCAATTTATATAATGAGTCATTCACTTTTTGGAATCTATGTGACACGTCGCAAAAAGGTTTAATATTGTATCCCTCCCCTTATTAAGATTAGCAAAAAACAAACTATAACTCTAGCTCCTCATTTTGTCGTGTATTTTCTTTCATTTTGGATTAGTGTTTTTCAACCATTTTCTGTTTGCGGACCCCTTATGACTTTCCCATGTAGTCACGGACCTCTACATTGCGAGAATCGTAATAAATAATAATTTTGCATGAGAAACAGATCTAAAGCAAAAATACACACACAATAGAGATATATACTTGTTGAACGTTCTCGGCACTAAATGCCCCTAAAATCAACTCTGCCAATTTCGGGCAGGGCATTACTAGCGTTTGGTCTGTCATGTAGGAAATTTAAACTCAGCTTTTAGAAACGCCACTTCGTAGGAAGCCTGAACAAAATTACCGCTTTGCTGTGGAAGATATCAACTTGCACCCATGGCTTTATTTCTTCGTTGCTAAGTATTGTATAACACTGAACAATAAACATATTTTGGTTTGATGTCATCATCAATAGCCACTTAAGTAAACCCCATACAAAGATATCTGTCAGAGTAGGCTACTGTATTTTACAGACCATAGGTGCACTTTAAATTCTTCTTTCTCAAAAATCGATCGTGCGTATTATAAGACCGTGCGCTTAATGTATGGATCAGGTAGTTATTTATGCATTATAGCCTATTTTCGAAACCAGTACCTGTACTATAAAAACTGTTCTCTTTTAGTCAAGTGCGCCTTATATATAAACAAAACCCCAATCTAAGCATTTTATAGACGGTGCGCATTATGGGCTGTGAAATACGTTACTTTCCTCATTCAGCCATACATACTACTTGGGGTGAATTTAACGCCACAAAATTACACCATAGCTAGCTGACGATGCCACCTGAAAGAACTATCCTACTGTATGCCTTCCCCGCTGCGCAGTTAATTTGTAACTTGTTATATTACCAGGGATTCCTTATTTTAGGACTTGTCCTTATTTTTGACTTATTTTTAGCATGCGTCCTTATTTTTGGCTTGCGTATCCCTATTTTGTCTTTTTTGGACTTCATAAAGGAAACTTTGTGTTGTTTGTTTCATCGCCAAAGCTTCATTGTGGCATCATAAAAGCAACACAATCTTATTTGGAACATAAAGGGCAAGGCACAGATAGGCATGAAACATTGTTAGTGTGGCGATTCTTAGGTTTTGTCGTGGTGATGGTTATTTTAGCCTAAATTCAAAAATGAGCCTTTTTTAAACCCCTTTTCCGTGATGAGTACGGGAAAGAATTCAAAGTTAAACGAAGCTTGAAGGGTGATTGCTTCGCACACTGTGACGTCTGTAAATGTGACATTGACCTGGAGGCCATAGGAAAGCCAGCTATTTTTGCTCACAATGCAGACATTTTTTTGGGGTTCCAAATCCATGGAATCTCTGTATATCACAATAGCATATTTGGAAGTTTGATTATTGTATACCATTTCTAACACCAATGTATCAGTAATCACGTCTTCTGAGTTTGCAAAGTAACGTTCAAATACCTAAATTGCGTAATTTTCGCGGACCTCCTTGCAAATGCGTTTCAAACCACGAGGGGTTGAGAAACACCGTTGTAGAATGTAGATGGGCTGAAATTTGGGTGATATTACATTTTGAACTCGAGATGAACAACTCGAACATAACTATAGTAATCTGTAAAGATGTTAATAATGTGTCTTGCACCTCCCCAAAATATGGGTATGGTCTGTCTGGACACGTCACTGAATTTGCCGGGCCAACCCTTACGTTTCACGGTTCTTCTGCGCTAGATTTATTTTCTCATATTGAAAGTTGCCATCACTGTTTTACCAGTAATTCATTGTACTGTAGCTAGTTTGAAAAGAACGCTCCATTATAAGAAGACATTAGACTTGCTAGGTATGGCAGCAGTAATGAATGCATCTTAATGAAGTTGTTCCCAGCGTTTGGTCAGTATTTGGAGTGGAAAAATAGGGACTCAATACCTGAACTAATCAAATTTTAAAGAAAGTGCAATGGAACTGTTTAAACAATTTCTTTATATAGCCTATATACTGTATATATTTAACTAAAACAAATCATCAATAATCCTTTGCAATGAGGCTTACTGTAACAATTTGGGCGGTGCTGTTGTTGTGCTGTACCGAATACGCCAGGCCAAATTTGAAAAATATTAAATATGATTGCCGCACATTTTGCCTCCGAAATGAGAACACTCCTCCCCACCGATAGATCGATCTCTTTGCTTCTTAACGGATCTTGTATTTCCAAGGAAAGTTTTTAGTCATTGTAATTTCTTGGCTTCGAGTTCCAATCCACATGCATTTTACTGTCAGTATACCCTGATCAAATTACCGAACTTTTTTTTCAGGAATTCTGATCATATTATCTTGTGCTGCCTCTAGTATTGCGTTAACTGGAGTATACTTGCACGTAATGCACTTTCAGAATTTTGTATTGTTTTCATTCAATCATGGCGCCCATAATCTTGCTCAGAGGTTAATTTTCTTTATTTGTGACTGAATGCGTCTGAATTTGCTTCGTCGAAATTCTTATAAACGGAAAAGTTGGAATTTTCTCAGAACATAGAAACGTTATATTACATCATCATAGAATTCAAAATTTGTATAACCATATGAATGACATTATTCATTTTTGACTGTGCTCTCCTGTGCCTGCAAAGACTAGAGGGGAGGGCTGGAATAAATAAAAATATGTTTTTGTTTACCGGTGATTCGATTTTATACTCAAACCCAAGAAAATCGCATCCTTTTACAACGTCTTACTTTGCCGAAATTTAATGAAACATACTCAGAAGAAAAGACGGATAACTAAAATGCTCAAGTTGTGAGAAAGAAGTAGCCTAAATCTTATTATTCCAACAGTTTTAGGAATTCATCACATTGTACTCTATATTTGTCATGGACCTTTTAAATGAATTTTTGGGCAGTTGCATAAGACTATATTGGCGGGATACTCATTGATCACCCCCAGAGCGCCAACACTTGTTTTCAATCACACTTGTTGGGGCTGTATTTCATAGATGTAATTCATATTGATGTTTTTTAATTTTGTATTAAAACAAACATTTTCGAAAATAAATTTGATTGCCTAATCTCCCGAAAAAACATATAATGTAATACCAATGATATATAACAATAAATTTTACATTCATAAATTATAAGAATGATTTACTGCAAGTATAGTATCAATTGTTAGTATTAGTACCGTATCTTAAATAACAGGTAGCCTATGTGAAGTAGTAGATATTTATATCCAGGCTTCTTTGTGTTCAACAATTTTACTCAGAATCCCAGTACGAGGTTGGCAAAAAGTTTATAATGTGTGCTGGTTGACACTTTTATTCATAATTTTTCATTTCGAGAAAATTGTGGATGGACGCGAGCTCTAGCAGAAACTAAATGGTCAAATGGCTTCACAACATGGTCAGTAGTGTGCGATGCAATATTCAATCTCCTTTAGTTGGATTGAATGCGCAGTGCAGGTTGCCGTTAGATTGGTCATAATGAAAGCGGAAAAAATAGAAGTTCCGGAAATGATT